GGCTGCCTGCTGGGGCTCGGGCTGGCGGCGCGGCTGGCCCGCTGACCGCGCTCTGCTTCCCTCCCGTTTACTCTTCCTTGCCGTGCTTTTTCTTTTTCTTTTCGTTTCTTTCCCTTTTCCTTTTTTTCTTTCCTTCTGTTTCCTTTTCCTTTTCTTCCCGCCCCCTTTCCTTTCCACTCTTTTTCTTTCCCTCTCCTTTTCCCCTTTCCTTTCTTCCTTTTCTTCTCCCTCTCCTTCCGTTCCCCGCCTCTCCCTCCCGTTCTGTTCTCCGCCTTCCCCCGTCTTTCCCACGTCTCACACTGGCGGGGACACGGTGCTGCCGTCCCCTGCGCCTGGCCCTGGCCTCCACCAGCCAGCAGCCCCAACTCCAGCTGCCTACAGCTCCAGCCGCTGACTCGACCCTCTTTTCTATTCTTTCTTTATTTTCCTTTGCAACCCCCAGACCCAGACCCAGGCCTCTCGGGGCCTCACCTCTGGGCAGGGGTAGAGAGGAGGGTTGGGTGGGTGGAGACTTCCTTTTGTAGAGAACTATTTTGTTTGTATTAACTGTCCCTGTAAGGAGGGACTTGGGTGGGCGCTGGTCACCGCGGCGGCGGACCATGTATAACCCAGCTGAGTAAAGAGTGTTCACAGCTGCTCCGGGCCTGTTTTCTCTCTGTGTGCGTGTGGACACCGGGTGGGTTTGGGGTTTAAGGAGAAGCACACAGAGTGACCTCAGAGACGGGGCATGGTGGCTCATGACTGTAATCCCAGCATTCTGGGGCGCTGAGGCAGGAGGATCACACATTGAAGCCCAGGCTGGGGAACTTACCATGATCCCGACTCAAAAAAAATAAAAAGAGCTGTGGATGTAGCTCAGTGCAAAGATCCCCAGTGTCACCCCCCCACACACACAATTCCCCATACCAGGCCATACTTCCTGGGGGCCTGGGAAGTAGAACAGGAGGCCCCTGCTGGCAGGGTGATGGGCAGGCGCTTCATCCTCCACAGGAGCGTCAGGAACTGAGAGCTTGTCTCCTCCCATCCCGCACAAGTCCCAGAGCCTGGTGGTTTTGCTGTATTTGGCTATGGAAGCCCAGGGCCATGACTCAGGGAGCCTCTCAAAGGGCCAGAACCCCACAGTCGGAGCTGCAATCTGCCCCCAGTGGGTGTCAGCCCAGACCTGTGGGATCCAACATCTCCTCCCTCAGAGCGTCCCCTGCTGGCTGGAGAGACCTAGCTGGCCTGGCCCGGCTCCTGACTCTTCCCACTGCTCCTGCTGGTCACTCCCTGTCCTGGCTCTGCCACCTGTGCCATACTTTCCAGACAGAGAAGTGTGGCCCTCCCCGATCCCTCTCCCAGGTCGGCGACCAGAGCTAAGCCAGAGCTAGACCAACTGGGAAGCAGGGAGCCAGGGCTGGAATGATGTGAGCCGAGACCCATGGTGCCCCTGCCAGCCACTCTGCTCCAATCCCGGCAAGTGGTCGCTCGCGAGCCCCAGGAAGAGCCTTCTGTGGGGTCCCTCATGTTCTTCCTAGGAGAACCCCCCTTAGAGGGTCTTCGCGTCCCCACTGAGACAGAGCACGCCTCTGGGCTCCTCGGGCAGTGGATCCCCTGTCGGGCCCGGGTGACGGGTAGGCCTTCCAGAAAGTTCCTAACTGCCCTCCAACTTCAGGGGGCCGCGGAGCCCTGCCAGCTGCTGTCCTGAGCAGGCGGGGACTGCGCTGGGAAAGGGCAGCTGGGAGCTGTGATCAGGCACAGCCCTTCAGGTGGAGGGTGGACCAGCACCAACCCCTACAGCCATGCTGCGGCCCTTTGTGTCACCCTGGGTGTGTCCCAGGACTCTCCAGAGTGCCCGGCCCCGCTGGGTCCACATCCCCAGGACCAGCCGGTGCCAGCCCGGGGTGGCAAAGTGGGCCGTAGATCAGCCTGGCAGCCCCGGCCCCCGAGGACTCGGCTCAGGCCTTGACCTTGGCCTGCTGTGGCAGGAGAGCTGCCAGCGGCCATTTGGAAAACTCTTAACAGGCTCCAGACCGCAGAGAAGGAGAAAACAAAGTCGCCAGAGCTGGGAGGCACGGAGCCAACCGTCCTGGTCCCCACAGTTGCTGCCTGGCATCTGGTCCCCAGGGGTTCGGGGGAGAAGACCCCATTTCACGGCAGCTGCCAGGCACCGCCAAGCCCCAGCCCTGGGCAGTCTTCAGCCTCGGCGCTGTGGACGTGGGGGTGGGGGAGTCTCTGTGGCAGGACTGGGGGGTTCTTGGCCAAGTTCGGTACAAAATTGCCCCAGGTTGAAATCATGGCCTCTAGAGGACGAGAGATGACGGTGCCTGTTTTGCAGAAGGGTAAATGGAGGCTTGGAGAGGAAGAGGCCTGAAGTCACCATTGCAAAGAAGCAGGTGCAGGCTGGACCAAACCCAGCAGCCCCAGGCAGGCGCCGCCCCTGCCCCGCGGCCTCCTCCCCGTCTGCCTCCTTCCACGCCTAGACTGCCAGGCTGAACGAAGATCCCAGGGAGCTCCGCTGCAGAGGGGCCCCCCCGCCCCCCGAATAAACAGGGCTGCTGCGTCAGCGGTTCCCTTGTCCTTACGGGGCATTCACGGGCACCCAGGGAGCAGCCTCGGCAGCTCCTGGCAGGCCGCGGTGACCCAGGCAGAACGAGGGACCCCAAGGGACCCCAGCCTGCACATCTCGGGCCAGAGGAGTGGAAGAAAAGCTTTCTTATTTATGTGCCTTTTAACAACACAAATCAGAATGCAAAAGCAAGTTAGGAATTACAGAAGACAAAGCCATAGTAATTTCAAAATTAAAATTACCCACAATTCTTCATCCCGAGCCCATAACGGCTCATGCTTCCTGATGGATATTTCTGGCGTCTGTGCTGGCTTTGGCAGCACATATTCATAGTCTAGTGTTTTTCCATAAAACAAAACCCACACACGGACACGGCCCCACCCTCCCATCTCATCTCAGTCTTTGTTACGCTTCTGTGCCGAGGATTGACATTTGTGGTTTTTTAAAAAATGTTTCATATTTTTGAAGGGCTCAAATGTGGTATTTTGATACATATATAAGGTACATATTTATCACATCAAACATTTATCATTTCTTTGCGGTAAAAATATTCAAAAATCCTCTCATAGCTATTTTGATATGATATAGAATAAATTATAAACCAGGCGTGGTGTCCACGCCTGTAATCCCAGCAATCAGGAGGCTGAGGCAGGAGGATGGCTGGGAATTTGAGGCCAGCCCGGGCTACACAGAGTTCAAGCCCAACCTGAACTGCCAAGTGAGCTCTTGTCTCAAAAAAACCTAAATAAATAATAAATTATCAACTGCAACCACCTACTGTGTTAGAGGGTATGAGAGCCTACACCTGTGGGACCATGTTGATGGTATTTCAAGGGTCCTCACCATGATGCTGAGAAGTGGCTTTGTTTTTGTTTTGGTTTGCTTTGCTTTGGTTTTTGAGACAGGGTCCCACTATGTAATCCAGGCTGGCTTTGAACTATGTAGGCCAGGCTGGCCTCAAACTCGTGGTGATTCTCCTGCTTCAGCCTCCCATGTACTGGGATTTCAGGTGCGTGCCACTGCAACTGCCAAAGTGGGCTCTGTGGGGATACCCACTTTACAGCTGCATACACTGAGATGCCAAGTGTCCTGGCCAGGAACCTGAGCTACCAGGTGCCCAAAAACAACTCCAGCTGATGTAATCATGGAAGGGGACTACCCAAAGCATCACCCAGGGACACATCAGG